AAAAAAAAAAAAAAAAAAAAAAAGAGACAGAAGCATATGCTTGTACAAAATCGTCAATAAATTGCAGAGTTAAAAAGAGCTAAGGGGGCTGGGCGTGGTGGTTCACGCCTGTAATTCCAGCACTTTGGGAGGCCGAGATGGGAGGATCACGAGGTCAGGAGATCGAGACCATCCTGGCTAACACAGTGAAACTCCGTCTCTACTAAAATACACAAAAAATTAGCCGGGCGTGGTGGCGGGTGCCTATAGTCCCAGCTACTCAAAAAGACAAAAAATTAGCCGGGCGTGGTGGCGGGTGCCTGTAATCCCAGCTACTTGGGAGGCTGAGGCAGGAGAACGGCATAAACCCGGGAGGCGGAGATTCCAGTGAGCCGAGATCATGCCACTGCACTCCAGCCTAGGTGACAGCAAGACTCTGTCTCAATAAAAAAAAAAAAAGAGCTAAGAGAAAATAATGAGTTGGCAAACATTTATAGGTTGTAGGATGTCCAGCATCTACATGTAAAGCTACCTTATAATTATTACTGTATAGCTTCATTTCAGTCACTGATAAACGACTAAAATGTCTAAACTAGGAATTTGTGACTTTTAGAATTAGGAAGGTTGTAATAACAATGATCAGAAAAAGAAATGTACTGATAGATTTTAGCTCTGAAAGCTGAGTATTTTTATTTGTCTCGCCCTGTTGCCCAGTCTGGAGTGCACTAGTGCGATCTCGGATCACTGCAGCCTCCGCTTCCTGGGTTCAAGCGATTCTCCTGCCTCAGCCTCCTGAGTAGCTGGGACCACAGGCACCCACCACCACACCCGGCTAATTTTTGTATTTTTAGTAGAAACAGAGTTTCACCATGTTGGCCAGGATGATCTCGATCTCCTGATCTTGTGATCCACCCGCCTCGGCCTCCCAAAGTGCTGGGATTACACGCATGAGCCACCACGCCTGGCCTGTCTCTAGCATTTATGGTGTCTACACTCAAATTTTACAAGAAAAATATTAAGAAATTAAAATTTTATTAGAAAAAAATGTAGGGAAGAATTCTTCAATTTAAAAACAAATACCAATTTAGAGAAAGGAAAAACACTTCTGGAAACATTATCTTCCAATCCATTAATTCAAGGCTTCTCAAAAATACATATGCATGTGAATTTATTTTAAAAGAAGTTATTTTCTAACAGAATGATAAATGTACAGAAAATTTTAAATTTCATCCTTTGTCCAAAAAAAAGTCCATACCATGCTTCCACTATGGTTTACCTGACGCTTCCACTATGGTTTACCTGACGCTTCCACTATGGTTTACCTGACGCTTCCTCTATGGTTTACCTGACGCT